CCCACATTTGGCCCAGGCGAATCAGCTGGTCATTATGTGACTGCCTCTCGCCGTGATATCCTTGGCAAAGATGGAAAATCCACCATCCCCATCACTGAACTGGCAATCCAAGTCCCCGCCCTTCTTGAAACCATCCAAGCCGACCTCTACTCACGAGCAAATGCTACGTACAAGTCACATGTTAAGCGCATCACGAACTGGGATGATTTCACCCCTGCGCTCAACGATAAGAACCTCTGCATGATTCCCCACTGTCTGACCGAGCAGTGCGAAGACGAAATTAAAGACATGAGTGCACGAAAGGCTGAAGAAGAGACTGGTGAAGCCCAGGATGCCAGGGCCCCAAGCATGGGTGCAAAGAGTTTGTGTATTCCATTCGAGCAGCCTGAGGGCATTGAGAAGGGAGTTACCAAGTGCACGAACCCCAACTGCAAACGGGTCGCGGAGAAATGGTGCTTGTTTGGACGTGAGTAGCTCCCCATCTTTCTTCTCACCTCAGCGCAAATTCCACTGTTAGACATGTAGACTTTTTTCCTTCTCCAAAGTCTTCGAAACTAATGCAGCCAACATGATAGGCTCCTACTAAACAGTCTCCGAACACCCAGCCGGTTGCATATTACCAAACGGACCTGGCATAGCCTATCTCTGTTATTCTAAATACCCACGGAGCTTAGCGTGCATCAATATTTCCTACCAGACTCAAGACTCCCAGCCTAAATTTCCCCGATATTTGATGAAGGCGTATCCAAACAACCTTGCTGATCTTGCTATCGGTGTTTTAAGCGCTCATCTGCTCTTCAGTCTGGGCAGTTCTAGTTATGTTGTCATGATTCGAGAGAGTTTAAATATCAAGAATAGAAATTAAGAAAAAATTAAAGTCAGTACCTATCTTTCCATGCTGTACCGTCAATGGATGTGAATGTATTCTTCAGCTTGATATATGCAACACAAACCTCCTCATATATTGATTGGTTCTCTCAATAAAGGGAATAAGAACGGTGAGCCTTACATAATTGGATGGTGTCGTGGTGTAGTTGGTTATCACGTGAGTCTAACACACTCAAGGTCCCCAGTTCGAGCCTGGGCGACATCATATCTCTTTTTCTCAAATATCATTTTTTTTTTCTTTTTGTCAAACCACCCAAGGACAAATTCTAGAAAGCCGGGCAAGGCAGAGTTCTTTACAAGAACTAAGCTAAGGAAAACATGAAGGATAAATATATCGTGGATGAATCAGGTGGTATGTTACATGGCGTTCGCCTATAATAACTCTCCCGTCTACCCAAATAGAAATAGCTAGGCTGATAAAGAGACCCCTCCTCCCAATTTGGCCCGACTAAGTTATCAAAATATTTATAGAAAAAGAATGGGGTCATTGAAAAAAAAATGACAATAAATCAAGAGCCCATATCTGTCAAATGATGAAGAAAAACCTCGCCCGAGGCAAGGGGAAGAAATCTGAGAAGAAAGGGGACCCTAGTGACCAAATGATTCATGTATAGTATAGAAAATATTGAGAAGGGAAAAAGCGAAGAATAAGAACATGGAATTTTCCAAAAGATTCCCCGCCCCGCAAACAGATGAACAATAAAACTCCAAAATTCTCCCAATTTTCTGCGAGTGAACATAATAAAATGGTAAGATGATAATAACGATAGTAATCGGGAAAGAAGATGATATTTCCCTTCAGTAGGCCGGAGTCGCCATCACAGGATTTATTCATGCGCCGCCAAATCGCCCCATGTTCGTATGCAAAATAGTATCAGCCATGCATGTTATGATGACAATATTTATGAAATTAGGAGTAATGAATGAACTGGGTAAATGGATATAAAGTGACCGAAGAAAAAGGAAATCGATGTGTGACAAGGAGGTGTCAGGCGAAGGGGGGGGAAGTGTTGGGATGATGTATCACAAAATTCTTTGTTTTTCTGAGATATCTCGATGGAAGTATATAAGGATCGGATGACGGCGTTACTTGGGAGAATGGGGTGTAGTTCAAGGGCGGGCACGCGATCGGGTAAATGAAGGGCTGTAAATGGGACTTGCAGATGCCGTCGCGGGAAAATGGATTTGGTTGGTGATGAAGATTATTTCGGCAGAGATGGTGAGGTGTGTCGGATTAAGATTATTGGGCTCCGGTAGGAAATATATAAAAATCGTTTCTCTATTCGACACGTAAACCAGATTTGGCGTCGCTAGAATTGAAAAATGACAAGCTTAGACGGACTTAATAGAGCTCGATTATAGCTTAAACCGCCCAGAATCGAATAAATCCTTCTGAATACTACTTCGGCGTAGAGGTATTCGATTCCGGCCAATTTGTTGAGGTGAAGTGCTAAATAGCCTCTTTATTGGTGGCTTTTGAGAGGTTTGCTGGGGGAAACTGGAGGTGACAATTTTAGGCTCGGGTGTAGTGCATGAGCTGTTAGTTAAGCCGGGTAGGGTATCACGCTCTCCGTTTTTAGGATTGTCGGATTGATATTTGGGTAGGTCAGGCTTCGTCTGCTCTGCAGGAGTATTTCGGCTACTTGTCCTTTGTGCCATTTCCGACTGGGAGTTCTGACACACGAGTGCAGGTCGACATGATTGGGTTTGTTTTGAAGAACCAGATTTGCCTAGCCTGGAAGGTGGTCCCTTAGAACGTACGCTATGTGAACTTTTTGGTCGGATATCAGGTATTAGCTTGTAAGTGTATTTAGGTTGCGGACTATCTCCAGACCTTCCCAGAGACGCTTTTCCCGCCTCTTGTCGTAACTCCCTTGGGAATTCAGGGGCAACGGGTACACTCGGGGGTAAAGGCTGCGAGTAAGTGTGCCTTCTCCTTCGTTCCTGGTGGCTGCTGTCCGGTTCGGTTCCTGCTTCTAGTCCCTTAATAGCAGGAAAAGATAATTCTTTCCCGGAAGTGTATGAGTTTCGTCGCGTCTTTGCAAAGGAGTTTCTACCAACAAGTCTCAGCGATTGTTTCTCCTTTCCTGATAAACTCTTTGACGAGGACTTCCTCCTCGTATGGCCATTAATTTCACTCTGTTTAATGGGAATCGGAACCGGACTAGGCTCCGGAAACGGCATTGTTTCAATATCGGAAGCAACTTGGCGAAAAGCTTCATGAGAATTTATCTCACGAACAATAGCATCATGCAATGTTTCGAAGGAGGGGGGGGAATTGGTCTTTTGTGATGATTTATAAGCATGTTTGAACATACTCATAATTTCCTCGACGTTGTAGCTCGAGGTCCTTGGAGATACCGCAGAGGGAGTTGCGACTGGAAGTGGACTGTTTACAATCCCAGCAATACTCGAATTCGGCTCTCTCCTGGCTCCAGCGGGGGGCCAAGACAGGGGGGTTGGGTAGGCACCTTCACAAAATTTTTGGTGGGGGGCAGCCAATTTTGTATTTAATAGAAAAGATCTCGAACATTTTTCCCTTGATAGATTCGCCTGAGGGCGGGGGATAATAAGCCGGTGGGATCCGTCTTTCGAACCGTCCGGACATTTGGGAGTAGCTTTCTTTGAGTCATGATTTCGAGGCTTAACATCCAGCTGCTTCGGTGGATTCACTAAGCTCTGATTAAACCTGGATGATTCGCCGGCATCTCTCGTAGATGGCTGGCGGTCGGGCGCAACTTTGTAAATTTTTAACTGTGGTTGCGGTGCTGGTCTTGGAGGAATATTCTCCGACTCCTGAGAGGATAGCGCTGGTGAAGAATTTTTTAGTCGCAAAGCGATATACTGCCTGACACCTATCCTGCGCGGTGGGCTGGCGCCAGCATCTTCTTGTTGATGTGATGGAGGATGGCTTCGGAGGTCGTGGTCAGAAGATATAACTCTCAATTCTGTTCTGGTTTCCCCTGATGGTGTTCGGTGTCCCGATGCTTGTGTTCTGGACCATAACCGTGGCCGGCTTTCCTGATAGTATGAAAGAGATGACGCTGATCTACTATTACTTAAATTGCACTGAGATACCCCTCCCCTTCTTATTTCAAGTGTGCGTGTATTTCCAGCGGCAAGCAAGATGTTACGATCCGCCACGTCTTCCTGGTATACCGCTGATATAACATTTCGCGTACTTTGTGCTACGCTTGTTAGATCGTTTGCTATGGATATTGCGATCCGCAATTTCCTCATTATACATACTCGCAGGAGATATCGGAGTCGGAACTCGGGCGTGTTGAGCCGGGAAGCCGGCTTCTATGACATCGACATGGCGACGGATCTGGTGAGGGGAGGACGTAGGCTCAGCGTTTCTGAATCGTTTATTTTGCCTGGACAATGATTGGTGACAGCAAAACTGATCATGGAGGTCCTCAAATTGCCTCTCAATTCCGTAGAAAGTTTGGTTTTGCATCTGTGGGAGTCGAGGGAGTTTCGCTTCAGGCGATCCGCGGGGCAACGCAAGGCATGGGGAATAGGTGCCGCTTACTGGACCGTTGGACTCGCTCTCCATCAATTCGGGGTTTGTCGACTGGAACAATGTCCTCTCGATACTGAAAAGTTTTCTGAGGCCCGCCATTTTTCCCAATTGGACATGTCAGGAAACCGAATGAAGGTCAACGGTGCCAGCCGAAAAGGGGGGTCGCAAACCGGCGCATTGTAAGAGACTTATCGTCGAGTCATTTCCATGCAATTCAGGAAAAACAAGTTTGAAAGCAGGATTCACCAGTTGGCGTCGGGAAGTTGCTTGCAGGTTTTTTATTTTTATTTTTATTTTTATTTTTTTTTTAGAGATCTAAACTGGAATTCGCAGGAACTGGAGGATTAGCAAGGATAATAACTGAGCAAATGGAGCAAAAAGAAAGCCACGAACGATGGTATACTTTAGGGGGAAATGAAATAGTATTAGCCGCAAAACGAGTGTCTAAGAATCAGGAATGAAAGAAATGAAAGAAATCTTCGTTTCAAAGAGAACAATTGAACCTTGGTTCCTCACGAGGATAAATGTTGTCGAAGCTCAAGCATTATTGGACTGACAGGAAATTCCCTGGCTCAAGCTGGCTCAAGCCTTGAGCACACTGAAGCCGGGACCAGAGTCTGTAATGTTTCCCAGGAGCAAATTGAAAATACCCGATTGAACTGGCATTTTCGGAATTCATAGGTCTTTTTATTTTCTTTTTCTTTTTCCTTTTTTTTATTATTTTTTTGAGCTGAGAAATCAATTGGCTTGTCAAGATCGGAGTACGAGGCTGCTAAGTTCGGACAATCTCAGGGGGATTGGTCCAGCCATGGTCGAAAGCGTTCTGCTCCGGCGTGACAAGCATGATCCAGCACAGGTGGAAACCACGGCGTCAACGGCGTTGCCCATCAGGCCCGTTCTTGCGAAAGCGGCTTAGTATGGCAGACTTTTGTCATGGCTGGCGGCTCCACTGTCTGGAATCGCTCGTCAAAAATATCCATCCGTACGTTGCTCCTCGATTTCCGATTGGCAGTGTCAGTTGTGAAGATCTGCAAGTCTATTGCTCTCCCCATATTTGAATTCATTGCGCCTCAGACCCAGCGCTCACTTAGTCCTCTTGGGCTCTTGGAGTCTGCTGCAGGGGCATTTTATCGAAGCGCCGTCGTGTTCAATTCTCGAAGCCTTGTTGTGTTTCTTCCTCGTATTTGTAGGTGATCCTGGAGAATCACAAACCGACGTGATTCAAGCCGCAGGAGGAACCGACCTGCTGGTTGGAGAGGTTAGCGTTGCGAGGAAAAACTTAAGACGTCCTTGTGGAAGACTAAAACCAACGCTAGGGAATAAAAGGAACTTCAGCGATGGCTTGAATGAAAAGAGAAAGGGGAAGTGGATTCCCTTCGATCCTTCACGGCTCTCAATCCGCCATCATCACGAATAGCAAGTGTCGATTCCATGCGTACTAGTTTATCTATCAACCTTGGATCGGGCATCCATGCAGCGTTTTGGCGTTCTCCATGCGGTTGGTGATTTGCATGTTCATACTCCATACTCCATACAGAGCACTTGCTCGCGGATGTACGCTGTACAGCGTATGTTGAGAATCGAGGAGACCAACTGGGTTGTTCTCGCTCTCATCAGAAACCAACAGAGTTGCTACAGTAGCTGCTAGTTGCTAGTCCAGGAAGATGCTTGGGTTGTACAGGGTCATTTGCATCAACAGCTTCCACACGCTTTCCGCTCTGCTTCATTGCATACATACTAGTATCTCCTGGAAGAGTGAACAATCCTATACACAATCCCTCTCGTCATGTTTACATCCCTTCCATAAAAATTTTTTAGCACTCCCATGCCCCTTTTCTTTAATGATCCTTGCCTGATACGTTTCTTTACCGAACTATGA